GTGACTTCCAGTGGCGGCGTGTGGTGACTGGCGGCCAGCAGCTCCGACGGCGTGGCTGTTTCCGGCGTGAACAGTGCCGGTTGTGCAGCACGGCAGAGGAACGGCGAGGAGGGGAGGACGACCGTGAAGGCTGGTCGGGGAGAGAGAACGTGAGCTGAGGGAGACTGAGGAGAGAGAAGAAGCAGGTCAAATGTGGTCAAACTTGGGTGAATGGAATCCATTTGTCAAAAATCCAAGGGTTTGGACAATCTGCCCTTTAATCCAATGGCCTAGGCTCATTCTCCTCCAATAATGCAAGGGTATAATGGTCAAATACCCCTAACCAAGGCTAACCAGGTCTGGTTTGGGCTTCTTAACCTTAGTTAGTCCCCAAAATTTATCCAAAATTCGGAATAAATTAAAATGGCCTAGGGGCATTTTCGTAATTTTCCGATCCCGGACTGAAATTCCAATTTTTGTCCATACCGGTCCTATATATTCACGGTAGACATAATATGGTGTCGGATCCTTAAAATTCATCCTTTAAGCCCTCGAAAATCAGTCCAAAAGTTTGGAGGGGCAAAACCGTAAATTCTCATTTTTCTCCCACCAAACGGCGTCGAATTAATTCCGATCCTTCACGGAACTTTCTCGCCATAAAATACTGGTTCCAAAAACCCAACTCGCGTCCCGAACCAGTCATCACAGCCCCGTGAACAATAATTCACAGCTTGTGAACAGTGATTCGCAGCATATGAACAGTAATTCGCAGCCCCTATTAATCCGAATTTCCAATAAATATTACCCAATTTAATTCCTAAGGCCCACCATAAAATTTCCACTCCCCATTCACGTAATTCCGCACCTAATTCCATACTGATTTTGCCCAAAATCGCCCGTCGATACCCGAAGTCCAAAATTGTGTTTAGAGCGCGACTTACTAAAATCAAACGAGCATTAACATATACTTCATTGGTCCCGGTAACGGATCAAAATTCAGGATGTTACACAACCCTTGCTTGAGGCCGACGAAGGTGACTCTCCCTAGCCTAGGCGTCTCTCACCTATGGCCGGCAGCCTTTGCCGACCATCGACGAGGCCCGACAATGACCAGCGAAAGGAAAAAGGGAAACAGAAAATCAAAAGCAAAGGAAAGGAAAAAAAGAAAAAAAATTAACAAAATAAAAAATTGCAAAATTTTTTATGTAAGCCTGGCCGTGCTTCGTAAGACGGCCAACGCTGACTAGACCACCAAGTCAGCAAATTTTGGCCGAAAGAAGTAAATTGGCAAATCGTTAAAAAGTTTACGACTAAATTAGTACAATTGAAAGGTTTAGAACTAAATTGGCAAATTGTCAAAAGGATTAGAACTAAATTAGTACAATTGAAAGGTTTAGAACTAAATTGGTTGCCGTATAATGGATTTAGGATTTTTTGGACAATTTTCCCTTAATTTGACAATTACCAAAAAAAAAAAATGGACGGCCTTAACCAAACACATTCACTATGGTTTTCCCTATGATCATTACTTAACCTATACTTTTCTAAGTCCAATTAAATTTTAGCCCACTTTTAGCATATTCAATTTCTAAATGTAGAAATGGGGGACTTTTGTTCACTCACACAATAAAGGACGGCAAGTAGTCTGACATTCCAAGCCAACTTCCACTCGGAGAGGTCTCTTTCCACGGCAATCGCAACAAGAAACAACTGAACTGTGCTTGATAAACACTGAAGAAATTGGAAGTGAAGCTTCGATGGATAGGTTTTCAATAGTCCAGCCTGTTTATATAAAGATAAAGCACTTGGATCTATATGACTTTTCTCTTAAAAAGAAAAAGAAACAAAGCATGATTTCAATAAGCCAAGAATAATAAAGGTTAACTTAATGTTAAACATGACTTAACAAAAAATACAAAGAAGTAATGCTAAATATGCAATCAAGATTCAAAGAAGCGATGAGGTAGACGTGGATTCCACGATTGTTAACTGTGATTTATGATCTAATTTATTCATGTTGGAATGTACAATTATGCTAGAGGCCGGTTAACATTAGGCAAAATAAGCAATCACGAATCAACATCCAAAGGGTATGCACGCGTGATTAAAAGATGCTACGAGGACGAAGTGGATTCCACAATTATTGTTTACAAGTGAAATTTATGATTTAAAACTCCTATGACCAAAAAGATGATATAGTGTTTAATACTTATGTAAAAAAGTACATTGCAAAAACTTGAGCTATTAATTAAGTGCATGAACATTATTTTTTGTGTAAGAACGTTGATTTAAGTGGCTATTAATATTGCTAATTTAGTCTTAGAACTTTGCACGAAATTTTAATGTAGTCCTTTCGGTCAATTTTTGCCGAAAATCGCTCATGTGGCGGTTTAATCATTTCTGGTTATCCTATATAGCACATTGCCACATCAATGATTATCGGCGAAAATTGGCTGGAAGGATAACCTTGAAGTTTTGGGCAAAGATTTTAAACTAAATTGACAAAATTAAAAAGTTCAGGACTGAATTGGTATATATACAATAAGTTTATGACTGATTGGACAATTTTCGCGTGTTGGAGCCAACATAGACTATGGTCTTTTTCTTTTCATGGTTACTGTTGTAATCTCCCTAACTAGATGTATTAGCCATTCGAGAGATCACGAAATGTTTTACCTAAAATGAATCTCATGATGAGCGATATCCTGAGCTTACTAAATTTGATCTCCAAAATGAGTTTATTAAATAATGTGTCAAACTACAAGTGTGTTATTGACAACCGTTAATAATAGTCTGACAAATTTCTTAGTAAATCAATGTCCTAAAGTAGTCTTTCTAAAAGTTGGGGGACCTGCAGAACAAACCATAAGCCCCAGGAGGAGACTGAAATGAACGAGAGGAAGCAACCTATGATCCATGGTGCTTCCAGATGATGAAATATGGTTATGGTGTTGGTGTTGGTGTTGGTGTTGGTGTTGGGCACTATGGAGGGCAAAAGGAGGATTTAGAATTGGTCCCTTGAAGAAAGCAAGGGTGGCCACTCCTCCTATGCAAATTGTTATTCCTCCAAGCTTTGCAACTCTCACTATACTCCTTACATTTAACTTCTCCCTCCTACCAGAGTAATGCCAAGAGTTACAACCCTTTAGGAAACGAAGTATTGAGTTCACTAGATAGAAAATGTGAATATTGACTTAATATAGATTAAGAATATACATATCAAATAATTGGGAAGAGGAGGACCGGAGAAGAATAGCGAACAAGAAGGTTGTAACAGGTACGCAGTTCACAGTTGCAGACGCGAGTAAAGCTGAAATATAGAGGAGAGCAATCCCAAAGAGATTCATAGTTAGCGTGATACTGCAATACACATGTATCATTTCATCAAAACTACTAGGAAAAGGACCTTTTGAATGTTAAGTTACATAATCACTAACTTCTCTGATTAGAGTTTAAATTCAAAGATTCTAGGCAATATTTTTTGAACTCACCCCAGGAAACCGACAGCAGAGATCCTGAAGAAGATGAGGAGTGTGAGCTGAGTCGCAGATCTCCTTTCGAAGATCGCGGCAAACAGGAGCAAGAAAACGGATCCAGCAAGTTGCCGGTAGAAGATGAAGATGAAGCTTTTCATGCCAACATTGACTGCGGCCTTGGTGAACAAGGTCATGCCCGCCTGGATAATCTGGACCAAGATAGCGAACACGTATGGATTCTTCAGTCCCATAATGCTCTCGCCTCTCTGTACATTCGCCTCCGATTAGAAATTAATGGCGCAATCGTTAAAGAATCACATGCTTATCTGCCTATGCATTTAAGAAAATGCAAAGAAAATCCGTGGATAAGTTAGTAAAATCTTCTTTTTTGAATGTTCTTTCTGACGTGATTTTTCTTCTTCAAATGCAACAAATTACCTTGGACCATTTTTCCTTTGTTTATGGTTGTAAAAAATTTCCAGCAACTATGCCTCCAAATTACAAATTATGAATATGGCCTACACCACACTTACCTAAATATATATGCGGTTGATGTCCATATGTTGTAAAGTCGCCAATTAAAGGTATAGTTGGGAGAAATTTTCTTCAATCATGGATGGGGGATAAATATAGTCCTTCCGATTAACGTAATGTAGACTTCGTACAATTCCACTGTTTCTTTCTAATTTTTTTCGTGGTAGTATATTTCTGCAAGAATTGGTAAGCTTCATAAAACTATAGGTAAAGCAATTACAGGTTACCTTATTTCTGAGTTACTTGTCCGTAATTTATAGGCACTTTTACGAAATTAACAACTCGGTTTGACCATTTGCAAAACTACCAACTTTTATTTCTTTTATCAACTTTTACTTTCCTTTCTTATCAATGTCTTAAACTTATTAAATGATACATGAATATATCAATCTTTATTTGAGCAACTTACCAATTTTTTTCCGATTAACCTACCCATTCGTTTTGTGTCACCAACGCTCATTCGAGTTACCAAGCAAAGTTTATTTGGTTTTTAAATCTATGATTAAATATTTGGTATCGTTTACCAATGATTATTTTTCGTTCTTGTAAATGCTTTAAATTTATCAACTATTATATGACATCTTTTTTTTTTTTGAAGGAGAGACTTCAATGATTCGATCATTGACTCAAGATCCAGCGTGTGATAAGAAAAAAGACAGTTCTTACGAGAATAAAAGAGGGTAGTTGTCTTACTTAAGCTGTTTGATAGAGGCGAGGTTTAATATTTAAATACTTTAATACTTCTTTTTTGCGGCAAGATTGAATTTTTGCCTAAGACTAAAGTGTGGATACATGAAATAAAGGAGGCAAATAAAGGATGAAATAGCAATGATCAAGAAACTTGGCCTTTAAAATGGGTAGCACAAGCAAGTAGCTAAGAATTTGTGGGCTAAGGGGTAGGGGTGTCAAAAGAACCCGCTGAAACATGACCCGACCTGACCCAATCCGACCCAAACATGAAATTTTTGTATTGGGTCGGGTTGGACCTTAACTTGTTTAAGTAACAATAGAAACAAGGCTTCAGCTTGTTTTGGATCTACCCGAGCCTGCCCGAAACAAGCCCACCAAAAACAAACAAGAACCATTTGATCTTCTTGCTCCCAAGCCCACCCGAAACCTATCATCTTCTTCCAGAGCTCCGCTTTCTCTCTCTAGCGGATCCTGTCTCCTCCCCAGTTTGACTTGCGCCACCTCCCTCGATCCACCGTCATCGTCATCCCCTCCCAGGCATCGAGCTCGAACCAAGTCAATCCCCGCAAACCCTAACTCCCTCTCGATTTCGTGAATGAAAGCGGGTCCATCGTGCATCGCCAACCACTACGTCAGGTAACGGATTCTAAATTGTGGGTCTTTCGAAGTTTCGCTTTTCCAATAGCAAATTGTGGGTTTATCGCTGATGGGTGCGGGTTTGCTGTTCGATGTGAAGCAAATTCCGTGGTGGGTTTCGCGTGCTTGTTTGTATTTGGGGGGAAAAGGGTGGTGAAGTTTTCGTTTTGCGTTGGCTGCATTGTTTTCGAGGACTGGGGGGAGAAGTGGACTGATGGAGCTGCTAGTGAAGATGGTTGTAGTGATTCACAGGTGGTCTTTAAACTTTGATGAATCTTGCAATTGGATCACTGAATTTCTTTGCAATTGATGCACTCTGTCCATTTCCCAACCAAATGTCCAGCAAAAAACTAACGTGGCCTGTTATGTGGCAATTTTTACCATGGTCAAAGTGCATCAGTTCAACTACAAAAAGTTAAAAGTTTTATGCTTTGGGTTGTTGCAATCAAAGTTCAGTGACCCAAATTGCAAAATAATCGAAATTTGGGAATCACCAGTGGGAAATCTGTTCTGCTATGTATTTGGCTGATCTTGGAATTTGATGGTTGCAATACTTACTGTAGACTTAGGTTAGCCAATCCAAACAGATTTCGAGTAGATTAACTCTAATTTGGACTAACACGTGTCAGGTTTGTTGTAAACTAGCCAATCTAGACAGATTTCGAGTAGACTTAGGTTTGTCTGATCTTAGAATATGTTCTGCTATGTATTTGTTGTGGGTTAAATCGGCTTTCAAGAAGAAGGTGTGGGAGTCGTACCCCGATCTCTTCCCAATTAAAGAAAAGCCGATTGCAGAATCTAAGTTCAAGCTGGTAACTACTATGGCTCTTGAAATGTTGGAGCTTTTATATGTGTTTTCTTCTTTATTTCTTCTATGTTCAATCTTTAGTTGGCTACATTTTGGTGATATATCTTGGAACTGAGTTACTTGAATTGGTATATTTATTTGTGGCATAATTAGCATGTAACAGACCTCTGCAAAAAATTGCATCCTTGATAGCTTTCTGAGTCACTTCTTGTATATGACAAAGCTGTTCATGCTTGCTTTTGAGATAGACTTTACTTTACTATGTCAACTTTCTATGGCAATGATGGTTTTTGTTGATTCTGAAATGTTAATTATTTTTGCTGATTGCTAGATGTCTTCGTCGACGGATTCTAGCCTCACAAATAGAAGGAAGAGATCCGTTATGTGGGATCACTTTAAAAGGATTCCATGTACAGACAAAAATCAAGAAAAAGCTGAATGTTTATATTGCGAGGTCCACATTGGTTGTTCTAGTACTCAAGGGACTAGTTCAATGCATCATCATTTAGATAGATGTAAGGAATATCCATATGCAAACATCGAGAAAAGGCCAAAAAATGCCTCGGGTCAACCTGTTGGGATTGGTAGTTCACCATGGAAATTTGACCAAGATGCTAGTAGAAAAGAACTAGCGACCATGTTCATTCTTGGTGAATTGCCCTTTAAGTTTGTAGAAAATGAGGGTTTTCGGCGATTTGTGTATAGAATCCGGCCAAAGTTCTCAATCCCTATGCGTAACACGTTGAGGAGTGATTGTTATGCGTTATACGTGGAGGAAAGAAGAAAATTGATGAAATATTTTGCCAACACATGTCCTAGAGTTTGTTTGACGACCAACACATGGACCTCTTGTCAAAATTTGACTTATATGTTTCTCACTGCTCATTCTGTTGATGCTGATTGGAAGTTGCAGAAGAAAATCTTAAATTTTTGTCAAATCCCGGGTCATTCTACCGAGATAATAGAAAAGGCGGTTGAGAAATGTTTGACTGGTTGGGGGATTCAAAGTATTTTTTTCATTACCGTGGATAATGCAAGTTCAAATGATTTGGAAATTTAATACTTGAAAAGAAGACTTAATTCTTGGAACACTCTGGTATTGAGAGGTGAGTTACTCCACATGAAGTGTTTTGCTCATATATTGAGTTTGACTATGAGAGAGGAGTTAAAAGACATAAATGATTCTATTGTTAGAATACGTTCGGCTGTACGTTATGTGAGGTCTTCTCTTGGGAGGTTGAGGCGGTTTAAGGATTGTGTTGAACTAGAGAATATTGAGTTCAAGAGTCTTGTATGTTTGGATGTGGAGACTTATTGGAACTTGACATATATGATGCTGGAGACAGCTTTGAAGTTTCAAAAAGCTTTTTTTCTTATTGGAAATTCAAGATAGCAAATTTGTTGAAGAACTGTCCAAGGCGAAAGGGTTGCCTACTAGTGACGATTGGGATTATGCCCGTCACCTTCTTCCTTTCCTGAAGTTACTCTTTGATACGACTTCAAAAGTTTCGGGTTCTTCTTATGTCACTAGTAATGATTTGGCAAAGGATGTCTATGGGCTTTTTAGGATGATTAATGAATATTGTGAGAATGAGGATAAAAGTTTGTAGGAAATGGCTAAAAGAATGAAGACCAAATTCAATAAGTATTATGGCAATGTGAACAACATCAATCTTAATTTGTTTATTGCTTGCATACTTGACCCTCGACATAAGTGGGAATATGTGAAATGGTTGATTAATGATGTTTATGAGAGCAAGCAAGCAGAAATTTTACGTGATAAGGTAACATCATCGCTGACATCATTATACGAGCAATACCGCACTGGTAAATGCCCCCAAGGCAACTTGAGATTAAAGGGTACAAGGACAGTAAATGTGTCAAAGTCTCCCGTGGTTAGTGCGGACTTTATGACTGCAAAGTATCTTAGCCAAACGGGACAACAAATTTTGGAAGAAAAATCTAAATTGGATAAATATTTGGAGGAAGGATGTGAACGTTATAGCCCTGACTTTGATATCTTAACTTGGTGGAAAGTTAATTCTTCGAGATATCCTATCCTCTCTTCCATTGCTCGAGATATTTTGGTCGTGCCCGTTTCGACTGTAGCATCAGAGACCGCATTCAGCACAGGAGGTCGTGTACTCAATGTCTTTCGTAGCTCCTTGACCCCAAGAATGGTGGAGGGTCTTATATGTGCTCAAGATTGGCTACGATCGTCTCCACTTTCACTTTCAATTGAGGATGACTTAGAAGAACAAGAAAATTTTGAGTCAAGTCTGAAAACATAATTGTGGAATATTTATTCTTTTCTATATTACAATGGATACTTAAGTTCTCATTTTGATTGTGAATTTAATGCAGAGTGTTCAACTACAATTATGGAGCCGAACTCGATATCGGTTTCTCTTGATGATTGACGAAGTTGGGAATTGGTACTTGCTAAACCAATTTTTTTTTATTCTTATTGCAAATTTACTTTTTCATATTCAGATTAGGCATTTAGCAATTGTTGTCTTCTTCATTTCTTACTTGCAGTAAGTGTTGTTAGAGGAAGCTTTCTACGAACAATCATCACAGTAAAGCTTTTACATTGTCCTTTTTAAGGGCTGATCACGAGTATTCTGGTGAAGGATCAGCATGTGAAACTATTGCTGAGGGGGCGAAAAGGGAGCAACTGCTGGAAATTGTTCATTTAGACAGACTTTTTCATGGGCAACTCTGGATGAGCAGCTGACTGACTCATTGATGGACAAAATTTGTTTATACTTCATTGAAACTGGGGGTCTACCAGTCTTTGTTGGAGAGTTCTACGGAAGAATGAACATGACCTAGATCTTGCTTTATGGAATTAGTGCTCTTGTTTGTCACAGTCAACATTTGGGATCTAATGTTTTGAATACTACAATAAAGCTCCTCTGTGTAATTAAGACATCTCAAACCTTTTAAGATCCGTGGCTTGGTTATTTTGCGAATGATCTTGGTGGTTATAGTTATGTTGAGGCATTCTAGAATATTATAGGCTTGGGCATTCTCCACAGCTTACTAGACTCTGCCCTTCATAGTCCATGAATGAGGTCTAGTTGGTTCCTTTTTCATTACATCCTTCAGCAGCTTTACTTACAATATAATCCAACACTTAGGCTCCGTTTGTTTGGCGGAAAATGTTTTCCAGAAAAATATTTTCCGGATTTTTCAGTGTTCGGGGGGCGGAAAATAACTTCCCACGGAAAACATTTTCCCTTCCATGGGTAACTTTGCCTTCATTTTGGGGGAAAATGATTTCCTCTTTTCAAAAGAGGAAATCATTTTCCCCAAAATGAAGGCAAAGTTGCCATGGAAGGGAAAATGTTTTCCGTGGGAGAGAAGTTCATCGCCGGTCACCGCCGTCGGCGCCAGTAGCCGCCGCCGGCCGCGGTCGCCGCCGCCGCCGCGGGTCGCCGGTCGCCGCCGCCGGCCGTAGGTCGCCGGTCGCCGCCGCGTCGCAGCCGGCGATCGCCACCGCCGCCGTAGCCGCCTGTCGATCGACGGCCGCCGGTCGCCGTCGCCGATCGTCGCCACGGATCATCGGTCGCCGGTCACCGTCGGATCGTCGGCCGCCGCCGGTTGCCGGCCGTCGGTCGCGGCCGCCGCCCGTCATTGGCCGTCGCCGGTTGCCGCCGCTAGTCGTTGGTCCTTGTCGGTCGTCGGCCACCGCCGGTCGCCGGCCGTTGGTCGCCGGTCACCGCCGCCGCCGGTCGCCGATCGCCGCCCCGGTCATCGGTCGCCGGTCACTGTCGGTCGTCGGCTGCCGCCGGCCGGCGGTCGTCGGTCACCGCCGATCGCCGCCCGCCGCCGCCGACCGCCGCCCGTCGCCGCCGGTTGTCGATCGCCGCCACCGGTCGCCACAGCCGGATCGGCTATCGCCAAACACCAGAAAATATTTTCCGAAACTTTTTCAGATTTTAGCCAAACACCAAAAAATTGTGTTCCAAGAAAACATTTTTCAGGAAAATGACTTTCGGGAAAATATTTTCCAAAAAAAGAATTTTTTCCGCCAAACGAACGGAGCCTTAGTTTGTGCAGATTTTCTATTGTACTTGCTCTGTATTGCTTGAACAGTTGATCGGGTGCCACCATTCACATCCATTTCCATTTCCAGATAATTAATGTTAAAAACAGTTGGTTATTGCTTGCCTAATGAGCATCACCTTGTAATTGTAACTTGTTTATGCTACTGTAATCTCTCTAGATCAAACCTGCTCTTCTGTATCGGCTTCTGGCACTTTGAGTGCATCATAATATTTTCTGCTTCAAGGTATCTGCACAAGCACTAACGAAGCTATGGGATAGCGTGAAGATTTTGAGCAAAACAAGGTGCTGATAAAGTTATTGAGAAAATGAATCGACTGCAAAAAATGATTAGTAAACCTCTAAACACGAATCCGACCCGATTGTGCGGCTATATCATGTTTGGCTCTTGTTTCGGGTCGGACCAAGCACATATATTCATTGTTTCGGATCGGTTCAGATCGGGTATCATGAAAACCCGACCCGACCCGACCCATTAACACGAGGGGGGCAAAACTCCAGTTTTTCAATTTTTGGGCTTCCAAGTCTCGTTGACAAGGCTCTCCATTTTTCTTAAGATAAGGAAAATGTCAAATTGGTCTTTTCTTATTTGGAGCATCAACATTAAGACATGCCAGTCTTATAAAAAGAAGAAAAGCTCCTCGAGAATTACAAAAACATGAGTGAGTGCAACATACATATGTAGACATTAACCGCCAACAAGTGACATATGGTGTGGCACAGCACAATGAAAATATACGTGATGAGCGCCACATACTATCTACTACATAAATATCATTACATGTTCAACAAAACGGCCAACTACATGAAAAATCAATTTCATTTTGCTAAATAACTAGTTTGAGCATCTTTGGGTTCCTCATCTTCTGCATTTACGCATGTCTTCTCAGCTTGAACTGGCAAGGAACTTTCGGTGGCTAGATTTTGCTCGTGCATTTGTCCCCATAAGACTCAGTAGAGGCCTGCTACTAACATTATCTCACCAACAATGCTGATAAAGAAACCAATCATGAGGTCCTATCAGTCGCAATTAATTCAAAGTCGTGATTAGTTCTCATGTTTGTGATGAAAATCTATATAAGCTCAAGAAGAGTCCGAATTCAATCAAAAGCAGCATACAATTAAGAATTGAAGACGAACGAAAAGCTTGATTATATTGCTTATCGTCATTAATATTATACTTAAATTTTGATTTTTTTTTGCGGAGTTTCTAAATTGGAGTCAAGGAGGATGTTCTTTCACATAATCACAAAAGTAGAAATGTTGCACGAGAGGTAGGTTGTCAGCACGCGCGATTATGTAACGCGTGATCTACTTCATAAAGTAGTGGAATTCAGCTTTGGTTTGTGGTTGCTAGCATTGGAAGATAAGACATTGGTGTGAACGACTGAACTTCAGTAAATTCTCTTGTCCCTACTTTTCTGTAAGGACTCTACTTGTGCATTAGCCATTACCGATGTTGCTGCACATCATTGCTGATGCTTTAAGATAGTGTGGCATAACATCTTTACTGTCACAGTTCTCGTCCTCCTCGTGATTGCCATAGGATAGGATATCCCTTATCCACCAAACATTCATCTTAATGTCAAAGATCTACATTTAGGATCAACAGTGTATAGAACTTAATAGTAAAGAATAAGTTTAATGAACAAAAAAGGCTTGACTGCGGTGTATGGTGCGGGGACGGACATAGCATGTGACATTTGTGGGCTTGGATTGGACAATGGACGTATTTATTGGGACTGTTCAACACTTTCGCATACTGTTTCTCCATTATTCTCCACATCTCTCTCTCTCTCTCTCTCTCTCTCTCTCTCTCTCTCTCTCTCTCTCTCACACACACACACACACACACACACACCTTCAAAGGTGTGTATCGCTGTATCCTTGTGCTGTTGTTCCTATCAATTATTGGAGGTGATGCCATGAGATATAGGATAGAGTTTACCTGCCAAAATATATGTTTTCACCCAAGAGGAACATGGAACCAATCATTGTTAGGATTGGATTCAAGGGTGTTGACATGGCTTGGAATACTGGTCCCTTCATTACAATCACCCAAGATTGTAGATAATGCGAAACTCCCGTGACCACAATTCCCTGATCACATATAATTGTAAATATTATGATGTCTTAATGAAAGTACACAATTTAAACACAATTTGATTGGCTTAAAACAATTCTATTGGGATCTCGTCATACCACTCGGCAAATTAGAAAATTTGCCGAAGGGGGGTCTTGTCGAAGGGGGGGAAAAAGCAGCAGCAGCAGCAGCATCACCCACGACCATTATTGGAAATTATCACTTCCATGTGTCTTCCAAGGGCCAAGGGACAAGCAGATGCGTGCGTAATTTCAGCAACTCACCACATGTAATGATGGGCAAAAGGGCGGACTTCGATGGGGGCATTTCACCTCTCGTTGCTTTTCTCGACCAAAAGCAAAGAAGAGCACGATCATCGATCCTACCTCTCAATCTCGATCCCTTGGGGATCCCCCACACCCCGACTTTGTACTTTGAGGGGTAAAGGCGCTCCCCCTTTTTTGAGCTTTCTTCCCATCATTGATGTCAAACATCTCTCTCTCTCTCTCTCTCTCTCTCTCTCTCTCTCTCTCTCTCTCTCTCTCTCTCTACATGGGCATGTCTAAACTAGATCTTGTTTCCCAATTTTCATAAAATGCTATGCTTAGAAATCGATCTTGAAAGTGTGACGGAGGCGGTCGAATTTTTCTCGAAATGCCCGGCGATGATGCAATTAGCATTGATGTATCTATAGAAAATTTAGTATCGGACACCGAGGACAACACTTCTGCTTGGTGCGTTGATGAAGATTTTTCCAAATCACGGTTCCACATATTCCATCTCTCAATTTTTGCAGATCTGATGAGTGGCTTGGTAGCGACCAATTACTTGTCCGTTGCTTTTTGGTAAAAACAAAAAGAAAAGGGATAGTTACAAAAATCATCAAGTTTGCTATCCACATCAAATACTCCAATTACATTTCCAAACTTATATTTTGCAACTTCCCAACCTAAAAAGACCCATTTGTTCTCGTGCATACTCAAGCTACTCCTAATATAGCACAGCAACAATCGAGAGCCACCCAATCTACACCCCACACCTTTCTCTCTCCTCACGCATGGCAACCCAGCACAACAACGATCGAGAGCCACCATCACAGCATGGAGCCATCGCTCGACGCCACAACCCGACCTCGACGTCAACACGACACGCTTACCCTTGCCCGCTGCTCACGCCCCTCTCCCTGCTTCCCTGTCTTTGTCTGAGGTGATATCGTTCGTGGCTCGCAGTTGCCAAGGCGATGCGAGGTCCGCATGGAACTCACTAGGGCTGCGGCCGACTGTGAGCCTCCACAATAGGCTCATGAGTCACGAAAGCTCTATAGCAGAGCCTAGCCATGGCCGACTCGACCTCGCTCTAGCCTTGGGCTGGTGCGGTGACCCCCGTCGGCCTCAGATCCGAGGTCAGTAATGGCCTGCGAATGAGCAGCAGAGGCGGGCGGTGGAGAGGAGGGTGGTGGGTGTGTCAGACTGTGTAAGCCTCTTGGGTGAGGGGAGAGTGTAAGTGGGTGTTGGGTTTTGCAGGAATTTTAGTTCGGGAAATAGTTGTAGGTTTTGAAATGTGACGACGGTATTTGATATATCAAGTAAATCCATAGATTATTTTCGTAATTTTTCCAAGAAAAGAGGCAATTTTCAAACTTTATGGTATCTTTAGGTTTGACAATTACCGGAAGAAAAAAGACGGACTTAACCTAACTCATTCACTATGACTTTCCCTATGAACATTACTTAACCTATATTTTTCCAAGTTGATTTAAATTTTGCCCGACTTTTAGCAT